AGAATTCATAATGATCGGGCGGGTAACGATTCATTTGTATATACGTATACTGTCTGAAAGTTTATATGTCAAAATGTGCTTCAAAATTTCCTGAGCCAAAACTTTCTTCATCATTATGCCTTTTGGACATTTCTAAGTCGGTCCATGACGAAAAAACTTTTTCGATCAGCTCGAAATTTTCTAAGTCTCAAAGTTTAGTTGACTCAAGATTGATCCCACGGGTAACGGGTAAGCCTAATAGTATTTATAATGATTGGACGGGTAAGGATTCATTTGCATATACGTATACTGTCTCAAAGTTTATATGTCAAAATGTGCTTTAAAATTTTCCTGAGACAAAACTTTCTGCATCATGCGTTTTGAACATTTCTAAGTCGGTCCATGACGAAAAAACTTTTTCGATCGGCTCGAAATTTTCTAAGTCTCCAACTTTAGTTGACTCAAGATTGATCTCACGGGTAACGGGTAAGCGTAATAGAATTCATAATGATCGGACGGGTAAGGATTGATTTGCATATACGTATACTGTCTGACAGTTTATATGTCAAAATGTGCTTTAAAATTCTCCTGAGCGAAAACTTTGTCCATCATTATGCGTTTTGAGCATTTCTAAGTCGGTCCATGACGAAAAGCTTTTCGATCAGCTCGAAATTTTCTAAGTCTCAAACTTTAGTTGACTCAAGATTGATCCCACGGGTAACGGGTAAGCGTAATAGAATTCATAATGATAGGACGGGTAAGGATTCATTTGCATGTACGTATACTGTCTAAAAGTTTATATGTTAAAACGTGCTTCAAAATTTTCCTGAGCCAAAACTTCCTTTATCATTATGCCTTTTGAACATTTCTAAGTCCGTCCATGACGAAAAAATTTATTCGATCAGCTCGAAAATTTCTAAGTCTCAAACTTTAGTTGACTCAAGATTGATCCCACGGGTAACGGGTAAGCGTAATAGAATTCATAATGATTGGACGGGTAAGGATTCATTTGCATATAGGTATACTGTCTGAAAGTTTTTATGTCAAAAGGTGCTTCAAAATTCCCCTGAGCCAAAACTTTCTCCATCGTTATGCGTTTTGAACATTTCTAAGTCGGTCCATGACGAAAAAACTTTTTCGGTCAGCTCGAAAATTTCTAAGTCTCAAACTTTAGTTGACTCAAGATTGATCTCACGGGTAACGGGTAAGCGTAATAGAATTCATAATGATCGGACGGGTAAGGATCATTTGCATATACGTATATACTGTCTGAAAGTTTATATGTCAAAATGTTTATATGTTATACACTGTCTATATTATAAATGTAGTTTTTTTATAAGAATGCTTTTGCATGAGTATTGTGTTATTTCGTTACCCGCATACCCAATGCGCACGCGCTGGGTTATTGCGTCCCACAAGCCTTCCATCAACGGAGTCGCAACTGTATATACACGGAACCCGTACCATGTAGTAATGTGTGGAAGGCGATATATTCCAGAATCTTGCGAAAAGGGTGTCGGCACATAATGGTTTAGGGGCCGCCAGCACTCTCCCTCGTAGTTCGTTAAGATACCGTATGGTATATATCACCATGTCTCAAGCAGTGTGGATTATAACGGTCGGCAATCGGCTATTTGCCGAACAAAAACACCAAATGGCGGATCAAATTCATTCTGCACGGACATTTTGTCCGATCAAATAAAATACACCACGCTGTTCATTTAAATTGAAGGTAGTTTATGTGAAAAGTACTGTTTGAAAAGCATCTAGCTATGCCTACTATACCATGCAATCAATAAATATTTAGATGAAAAAATCACTCCGAGGAAACATTGTCATTGAGCTTCTCTTTTAGCAAATACTCTCTCAAGTGACCGAATCTCGATAGTTACAGTCCATAGCCGGCGGCGTTTACAATACTTACTACTTACAAAAATATGTTTCATTTCTATATTAGTTTATATATTAGTAAATACCTTTATTTCCTAAAGCAACTCAAACAAAGTGAAGGCGCGGAGGAAGTTGCTAGTTGCAAACGTGCAATCAATAATGGTACGTCGGAGGACGTTGCTAGCATGCAAACGTGCAATCAATAATGGTACGTCGATCTGTAGCACTGTCACGTAAAAATGGTTTAAATAGTTGGCTGACCATTCTTGGCCAATGTCCGAGCAACAGTCTCGTTTATCGGACATTTGTCAGACCTAAGCAAAAACGTGATAATCCACGCTGCATGTCTGGCGGCTAACACGAGACAACTCCCGTTCTCGTCGTGTTAGCTGGAAATTTTTATTTATTTCTAGTAATTTTTATTTACACACATATAAGATATATGTTTTCAACAGCAAAAATTTTCGTTTCAAAAATTGTCAACCTTTCACTATGTAAAACATGTCCAGCACGTTTTTTATATACATATATTTCTGTATATTTAGAAAATTTCGACCAGACAGGGAAAGTTTTTCTCACAAACAGACGAATATACGAGCGTGCTCATGGGCATACTGGATAATAAGGAAGGTAGATTTCGGCATACCCTGCAGTAGCCTCGGCGATTTGTCGCGATGAATTAAGGATGTGGGATATCGGAAGACCTGGTAGGTAGCCACTGTTTGTGATGGCTATATGAAAAAGCAGTATGTGGCCCTTTAATTAGCTGCAGTACTAGTATAGTTGAGAAATCCGGGTAAGGTGGAGCGCAGAACAATCTAAAAGCCTACTGATAAAGCCTCTATAAGCCTACTGATTAAGACGGATCAACAAGTCTGCAAGTCAAAATGTGCTTTAAAATTCCCCTGAACCAAAATTTTCTCCATCAATATGGGTTTTGAATCTTTTTAGGTTGATCTATGTCTATGACGAAAAAACTCGGATGTTCCATCAGTCCGAAATTTAGTTGACTCGAGAATCCCGGATAACGGATAAGGTTAGTATAACTTATTATGAAGGACGGATAACGAACATTTGCACTAGTCATCTCAAATTTGAAAATGTGTTCTAAAATTCTCCCGGGACATAACTATCTTCATCAATATGCGTTCTTAATCTTTCTAGGTCGATCTATATCCAGTATAACAAAATTTTTCCATCAGCCCGAAATTTAGTTGACTAGAGGATCCCGGATAGCGGACAAGCTTAGTATAATTTATTATGAAGGACGGATAACGAACATCTGCATAAGTCATCTCAAATTTGAAAATGTGTTCTAAAATTCTCCTGAGCCATAACTATCTTCATCATTATGCGTTCTGAATCATTCTAGGTCGATCTATGTCCAGTATGACAAAACAATTTTCCATCAGTCCGAAATTTAGTTGACTCGAGAATCCCGGATAACGGATAAGGTTAGTATAACTTATTATGAAGGACCGATAACGAACATTTGCATAAGGGCCAGGTTGGAAATAGCAATAAAGCGATTTCTCACATAGAAGTATAAAAAGAATAAAAAATAGCCTGAATAAATAAAGAAAAAAAACAATTGTGAGTCCGCTATGAGTTCAACGGGATTTGAACCCAAACGTTAATAGTGATAGGCCAAACGGCCTACCACTAAGCCACCAGGGACGATCTGAAATTCTTGTGAAATTAAAGCCAGAATAGTAGATTGTTGTGACCTGCTTATCTCATGAGGTGAAGGAGATTATTATGCGGTGAATGGCGGTGAACGCGGTGAAAGAATTCAATATGAAATCAACACAGAATGATTACCTGGATCTCTTCGGGCCAGGTTCAACATAGCAATATTTTTTCTGCTTGTAAAGCGATTTCTCACATAGAAATATAAAAAGACAAAAAAATAGCCAGATTATATAAAGTTTAAAAGGAAAAAAAATTGTGAGTCTGCTACAAAATATGAGTTCAGCGTGATTTGAACTCAAACGTTTATCGAGATAGGCCAAACGAATATTCAAATATCGTAATATCGATTCCAACATCAAATCCATCTTTGTAGTGTTAAATCGTGTTATTTAATTCTTGCGATGCCCCGCGCAATTCTTGATCATCCGAGGTAGTTAAATTTTCATTTCGCCCGCGGTTTATCTGAAAATGTTACAGTAGCTTTGGAACATTACTTTGTTAAGACTTTGAAACAAGTGATCTCTTTCAGGTGTATTTGGTCTATTTTACCGGCTTAACCGAATTATGATTGGTTACATGTTTTGATGCCATCAAAGATATATTTCGATTGGCTGAAAGATAATTGGTCATGAGATGTGCACGTGTACGCATTGCCAATACAAAGATGACCTTTGATACAAATGACAGCTGCGGGTCTGTGACCTTTGTACCGCACGCAAAATATTCAAATCGTTGTCATATAAATTAGACTAAATTTGTGGACAGCATTGCCCATTAACTTAAATTTATAATATATATAAATTAGCTAAAAAAATATTGTGAGTCCGCTACAAAATATGAGTTCAACGTGATTTGAACCCAAACGTAATTAATAGAGACAGGCCAGACGAACTACCACTAAGCCACCAGGGACGATCTGAAATTTTTGCGAAATTAAAGACAATAGTAGATTGTTGTGACCTGCTTATTGTCGTAGGTTCCCAGCGCAGCGCCGCCAATTCATTCAACTTTAAATATACTTCATGTAATATATCAGTATTGTGATTGACGTAATTCATGTTAAATCGTAAATAAGTCTTTGTATGTGTAAATTGATACGTCACAGTGACACATTGTAATTTGGTAGGGTAATCAAATAGCTAGGGAGTGATTGAATGTCATTGTTGCTGTCAGATCGTAGCGAGACAATCGGAATGTTTAACAGTCTAAAACTCACGTTGTAAATAGTATACTTTCACATATTACAATCAATACAATTATAAAATACAGTCCCTTGAGCGTTTACTGAATGAACCAGACGGTGGAATCACAAGTTCCGCAACACAGTGGTCCGATCGAGCCGGATTGTTAATATTGTGAAGAAAGGACGCGCAAATAGTCAACATTTGCGTCGCGGTCGAGAATAGAGTTGCGTGAGGTTTCGAGACTTGAATCGTCAGATGGAAGATCTAGTCAAGAAGAAACGAGTGAGAGGAGGCCACAGATCGTCAGCTAAAAAGCTTGTGGCGAAGATAGTTGAAAAGCTTCAAAGTGAGAGCCCAGACAAAGACATACTATGGTTGCGACAGAGCCAAACGAACTTGAAAGAAAAAATCAAGACGATAAGACAATTCGACGAACAAATAATCGACATAATCAGCGCATCGAAAGAGGAAGACGTCGATGAACTTGTAACGCAAGAAATTGAAGACTCAGACAACGCGATAGCGGAACTGGAAAGAATATTACTCGAGCTCGAGGACGAATTATGTAAATTGAGACAAAGCACGCCATTGTCAGTGTCGACAACGCAGAACGCCGCGGATGCAAGCCTTAATCAGAGTCATTTGTCAACCTCCAGCGATATGTCAGTCGGTAAAATCGTTCGAGCTAAGCTCCCGAAACTTGAACTCAGAAAGTTTAACGGAAAGATTTGCGAATGGCAGGAGTTTTGGGACAGCTTTTCAAGTTCAATCGATAACAATGAGCAATTGTCTGATGTCGATAAATTTGCGTATTTACGCGGTCTGTTGGAAGAACCAGCAAAGTCAACAATCGCTGGGTTTTCTCTGACAGAAGCAAATTATAAGTCAGCAGTAGAACTCTTAAAGAAACGATTTGATAAAAAGAGCGCAGTGCAGCGAGCACACGTGAACGAACTGATTCAATTGTCGCCGGTATTCAAGGAAAGAGACACGCGAGGACTTCGCCATTTATATGATAGCTGTGAAGCACATAACCGCGCGTTGAAAGCACTGGGGGTGAGCGAGGAATCTTACTCCAGTATTGTTGTTCCAGTCATCGTCGAGAAACTACGGGAATCATTTCGGTTGACGATTACCAGAGGAACAGATTTTCTACAATGGTCGATGGAAGAAATGCTGGATGCATTTGTAAAAGAATTGGAACTGAGAGAAGCACATAATGCCGTGGGAACGACTGCAATAGTAAATATGGAACGAGAGCAACAGCGTCAGCGAAAGAACCCTTATACTGCTGCTGCACTCTTGGCGAATGAGAAACGAAAAAACTGTTGTGCCTTCTGTCTGAAACAACATGCCCACGAAGACTGTCCAGGAGTAAGGGATCCAAAAACTCGTAAGACTTTAGCACGTAAGTTTGGTAGATGTTTTAAATGCTTAGATAAAGGCCATAGGGCTAATAATTGTAGTGTATCAACCAAGTGTAAGAAATGCAATGGCACACATCATGTTGCCCTGTGTGATAATGACAACAAAGAAACTATGCATGAGGAAATAAGTAAAGATATGAGTAAACAAGACCCTAAAATTTATGTATCTAGTCCTACCAATTTGCATGTAGGAATTGGTGGCCTGGTTGCCTTGCAAACTGCGCGCGGGGTTTTAAGGGGAGAAAGGGAGGCTAAGGTCCGGGTACTGTTTGACGCGGGAAGTCATCGCTCCTTTGTGACTTCGAAAGCAGCTAGTCTCGTTGATCCCAAGGGTTTAAGACGGGAATTGTTAGGCATTAATACGTTCGGTCAGAAATGTACCAGGTCCGAACAAAGGGATGTGGTCGAATTAAAGCTTAAACCTCTGCATGGGGATAAGGTCATAACTGTAGAAGCTTATGTAGTACCAGAAATTTCCAGTATACAAAATGCACACATAGAATTAGCACGAAAGGATTACCAACACTTGAAGGGCACATGGTTTTCTGATGTTTGTAGCCAGGAAGTTTTAGAAATAGACGTTCTCATAGGAGCAGATTATCTTTGGCAGTTTCAAACAGGTGTTACCAGGCGAGGTAGACCGGAGGATCCAGTAGCTGTTGAAACAGAGTTAGGTTGGGTTTTGTCAGGTCCTCTTAGAGCAAGGGACATAGAAAGGGTTGGAGTAGCTCAGGTAAATTTTGTAGCACAGATAGGTAATCAGGAGTGGAACAATGATAGTTTAGAGAGTAATGTGCAAAGGCTTTGGAGTTTGGAAGGGTTAGGCATAATTGACGAGGATAGTGTTCATGAGGAATTTTTAGATGGCGTGACCTTCACAGGCAGTAGATATTCCGTGAAACTGCCCTGGAAGGAAGGCCATGACAAGCTTTCAGACAATTACGGGAATAGTCTAGCGAGAATGAAGAGCCAGTTAAGGCGATTGAAGAAGGAACCTGAATTGTTGAAAGAATATGATTCAATAATTAGAGAGCAACTAGAAAAGGGAATCATAGAGCAGGTATCGAGTCTAGAGAAGGCAGACAAGGTGCATTACTTACCACACCAAGCGGTCATTCGCAAGGATGCTGTGACCACAAAACTACGTATTGTCTATGATGCATCCTCAAAGGAGTCAAAATCAGGAACATCGCTTAATGACTGTTTACATGTTGGACCATCTCTCAATCCATTGCTGTATAGTATATTAATAAGGTTTAGAGAAAAAAGAGTAGCGTTAGTAGGCGATATTGAGAAAGCATTCCTGAATGTGGAAGTAGATAGAGCAGATAGAGATAGCTTAAGGTTCGTCTGGGTGAAGAATGTTGAGAATGAAGACCAGGAGACACTAGTTTATCGTTTTTGCCGAGTAGTTTTTGGGTTAAATTCATCACCATTCCTGCTCAATGCTACTTTGAGACACCATGTCTCTACATATGTTGAAGAAGATCCAGAGTTTGTACAAAAAATGCTTGATGGGTTTTACGTGGATGATCTAGTCAGTGGTGAGGGTAGTACAGGAAAGGCATTAGAGTTGTACAGTAGGACAAAGCGTAGGATGGCACAGGGAGGTTTCAACATGCGAAAGTGGTTAACAAATAGTAGAATGTTGAAAGATAAGATTGATTTAGAAGAGAAGACCATGGACAGGAAGAGCGATAGAATAGATGAGAATGAATCATATGCAAAATTATCTCTAGGAATGAAGGGAACTGAATCAAAATGCCATAAGGTTTTAGGTCAAGTATGGGATAACAATAAGGATGAATTAAAGTTTGAGGTTGCAAAGACAGGTGAAAAAGCAAGAACTCTATCACCTACGAAAAGAAATCTGTTAAGTGTTTTAGCTAGTCTTTTTGATCCTATCGGGATAGTGAGCCCTATAATTGTTTAT